CAAGAATACGATTTATGCAATATACTAATAATTTTATTTCTATATTAATTTTACTTTTTTTTCATTTAGTCATTATAGCATCAGGAAATTTTATAAGGCACCACGAAATTTTCCGCGCACGATTTTTTCACGGACGCTCTTTCTTTAAACCGGAATAACTTCGCGAATATCGATGCTACAAGGATGAAACATAGAACGGCCTTGTTCTTGGCTACAAAATGATATATCTATCTTAGAAAATACCTTAGTAGAAAATCGCTCGCGATTTTCGAAGCACAGAGCGAAGTTAAAAAAACAGAAAAAACGCACGTAAATTTCCTGATGAAATAAATATTATAATATTTAATACGCACGACGTGGACATTAATACCAATAGCGACTCATTTGGAAAAACGGGGCTATTTATGGCGCGTTGCCCAGCACATTACTATTGTTCTCTTTTCACGGTAAAAGAATTACAAGAAAAACGGTCTACTTATAATCACGCTGACAAGCACTACGCATTTTACGACTCATTTAGAAAAACGGGCTATTTATGACGCGTTATTATTTTTTTTTTCAATAAAAAAAAAAACTGCAAGAAAAACGGTCTATTTATTTATATCGCACCGACAAGTGCTACAGTGCGGAACCTCTAAGATAGGAATTTAGTTATAGTAAAAATTGATCAACCTTTTTACATTAAACCATAGAAATTGATAAGTTATCAAAATTATCAGTTAAAATTTTGGTCTGATTTAAATTGATCAAGTTTTACTGGGGTTGAAGTTACAGTATTTAATTATACCTATCAAAATTGAGAATATATTAAAAATAGTAAACCACTGTAATTTTGATAATTTTGATTGAAAAAAGGATTCTAATAAATTTAACATTTTATAAAGTTTTAAGTGTGAAAAATAAATGTAATTTTCAAATAATCTGATTTAATCATGTGATGCTTACATAAACCATAAAAATTGAGAAAATATTTTTTTTCCATAAATAGATTATAGATTCATCCATAATATAAATTAAATCTAATTGCTAGATTAAATCTTATTCAAGTTCCTATCTTAGAGGTTCCACACTGTACAGTTCCTTTTTTGGTGTTTAACTTTGATAGAGTGGATTCGTTCATGCAACCCTTTGAAACGTGCTTGGTCAGCGCGTATTAAATAGTCCCGTTTTATTTGAAATAGTTCTTTTGGAAGTAAAAAAATGAAGTCCATTCTATTGGATGATTATAATGACTAGGAAATGCAAGTCGATTTTGTTGTTTGTTAATGATTGGTTTATTGTTATGATGATAATTAATACGCGACACGCGTCGTGACAAGAATCATGTGAGTGATCAAATTTTCACCGAGTGGAAGTATAATGTCCTGCGCTACGCTCCGGGCTTGCAATGGTTTCTATTTCATAGACTTAATAATAATTTATGATTATAATATTCTTTTTTCAACCAAAGTTAAAATTACACAATAGATTTTTTTATCATATGACTAAATGCAAGGTTTAGGGTTAAAAATTTGTCACGTCGTTGAATCCTGAATTTTTCAAATTTTTTAGCATGGGAAAACCACCATATCTGTCACCAATAAACCCGATGCAACAAATTCTATATTCTTTTAATTTGATATATTACACTACTAATATTATAATGCTATTACATCATCTAATTAATAAATCTAATAATAATGAATCTATTAATAGTGAATTTATTTTATTTTTATTTTTTCAGTTATTTCTCAAGTCAAAACTAGATGATGTCATTGTTTATTTTAATAGCACGAATTTTTTGAATTTACGTAATCATAAAAATTATAAAATCTTTTGTTTCAGTATATAAAATTATTAGATATAAAAAAAAGTCTAAATTCAATTTTAAATAACAAATAAAATATTAATATTTCGTATATTTTACGTTATACAATTCATTCTATATCCCTAATCAAATTGAAAATACAAATAAACTTATCAATTAGGGTTAAGACAATTATTATTATCGATGTTTTACAGGTGATTTTCGTACAATAAAAGAATTTTATAAAAAATTAATAATTCTGGAAATTTTCTTGATTTATTTATTTATTCTATTTTATTTATTCTATTTATTTATTTTTATTTATTTATTTTTATTTATTTATTTTTATTTATGGTTAATGCCTATTATATTATATTATTATATTTCTTATTTAGATAATCATTTGTAGAATCGAATCGAATGGAGTAATACAACAATAAAATAAATAACAAATATAGTAATAATAAATCAAGTGGTAATAATAAAGAATAATGAACATAATTATACAAGTTTTATTTTCGCTATTATTATTATAATTATTATTCGTACTCGTCATTCGTTATTCATTCATTCTTTTTTATTTTTTTATTTTTGGATATTAAATTTTAAGGAATTGTTAAAAAAATTAATAAGTATTAACACCGGTTAAAAAAAATATAGTTTATTTATTATTGTAGATTGTTTATATTGTTTATTATTTGTTTAATTTCTATCGTTAGAAGTTAATCGACCATTATTGTAAAATTATTTTGATGTTCCCGTCCTACGTAATACACATATGTAAATTAATAGTTAAAAATGGTAAGCTAAAATAGAGTACCTAATTATCTAAGATTCCATATATATATTAACCAATTGCATTTCAAATGTTTCCAAAAATGCATTTCATATATTTCATATTTCATATTTCATATATAAAATTTACATAAACTGATCCGGACAATTCATATTTGTTTCACCGAGAAGAAAAATTACTGTCGCCTAATTACTATTTTACACAACTACACACACACACACACACACTTTTCACACTTTTTTTTTTTCTTCTTTTTAAGACTAGTGTTTTATCTTTTTTTTTCTTCTATATAATAATATTACATTCTCCCTATATACTTCGAAATTATTACTTATTTATTTATTCATATTTTATTTACTCATCATTATTGTCATTATTATTATCATCATTATTATCATTATTATTATCATTATTATTATCATTATTATTATCCTCATCATTATTAACATATTATTATTCGAATTTTTTTTTTGTTTTTTAAAAAAAAATTTAGAAAAAAAAATATAAGCATTTTAACAAATATATATATATATATATATAAAAATATACAAATAGTAGAATTTCGTCAAAAATGAACGATAAAAACAATAATAAAAATAATCACAGAAACAATAGAAATATCAAAGAAAATAATAATAATTATAATTATAAGAAGAATAATTCAATATCACGACTAAATTTTATACCATGTATCATATTTATTATATTAATCTATTCACAATTCACAATAACGTTGGTATCCGCTCAAACTTTCGATATTACAAGTACTGCTATCTCAAGTACTGATATTACAAGTACCAATATTACAACGATTGCCACAGCCACAGATACTCCAACCTCAACCTCAACCACTCCCACGAATACCACTCAATATGATGGACCCGAGAGAACAGGTGAAAGTGTACCTACAGATATTTCAAATAATACAGATATCACATCTAATATTCCAATTTCAAGTATGCAATAAAATATCTATTTCTTTTTCTTTTTATTATTTTTAATAATAATTTTTTAGAATTTTTTAAATTCTTGATTCTTTAATTTTTAAATTCATTATTAACTCTTATTTATTAATTAATATTATAGGTAGAGGTAATGAATATCCATTAGACGCTGCTAGTTATCTTACAGGAATAACATTGATATCGACGGGACTTATTATCTTATTCCGTGGTAATAAATATAAATGGTTATCGATATTTTTTGCAGCATTCTACGGAACATGTATGTATGATGATTAATATAACGGTATATTCATAATGAAAACAAAAACAAAAACAAAAAAAAAAGCAATGAAAATAATAATTTTTTTTTTTAATCATTTTAGGTATAATATTTATGTTATTTATTCTCAAATTTCAAGACGTTATCAGTCCGTCATCAAATGTTCGTTTTGTGTATTTTATAATATGCGTTGGATCCGGAACTGCGGCAGGAACATTTTTTGTATTTTTATGGCCTACCGGTAAAATTTTGGTAGGAGGATTAGGTGGTTTTTCGTTGTCAATGATCTGTCTATCAATTAAGAATGATGGATTAATTACAAATCAAGTGGGTCGATGGATATTTATGGGAATATTTACATTGATAATGGGTTTATTGGCTTCAATTAAAAGGAGCTATCAATATCTAGCAATCATTTCAACGGCATCAACAGGTTGTTACGCTTTAATTTTAGGAATTGATGTATTCGTTAAAGCCGGCCTATTAGCTTCATTTAAAACTTTTTGGGGATTCATACAACCTTCAGGTTATGAATTTATAGTTGATTATAAAATTGCGATAATATTATCCTCTGTAATAGCCATTGCGTGTCCATTTGGAATAGGATTTCAATTATTAGAATTAAGTATAAGTCGAAGAAATAATAGGAAGAATAATAATAATGAAAGTAATTTAAGTGATGATAGTAATTTAAGTGATGAAAGTAATTTAAGTGATGAAAGATTTAAAGATGAAGAAAATGGTTTAAATAATAATAATGATGGTCATTTTAATGATAATCATGATCATTATAATAATTATAATAATGGCCATCTAATAGGAAGAGGAAAAACAAAAGTTTCGCCATTTAAAACTACATTGATGAAATTATTTACAAAATCTTAACATTTAATAATCATCATTTCAAATAAAACATTTTAAAAATCAAACATTTAATCAATATTAACAGTTATTCCTTAAATGTATATATTTCATGTATATGTAACGTTATGTATGTTACGTATATTACGTATATTATATATGCATTTATTTATTATATTCACTTATCGTAATAAAATGTATGTAACATTCCAAAAAAAAAAAAAAAATTATATAAATGCATGGAAAAGTATTTCATATTTTACATAGGTTTAAATTGAAGATTATTGAAGATTATATATTTAGTATTTCGTATTTTACACAAAAAAAAATAAAAATGTATATTAAAGTTTATATTGGAGATTATATTGTTGAAGATTATATGTCAAAGATTATTGAAGATTACATTGTTTAAGATTTATATTGATATTGAAGGTTATTGACTAAAATGGAATTTATTCAAAGTTTTTTTCGAAACAACTAACACAATGGCGTCGATCTCTCATTTTGTTTTTCCTTTTTTTAATATTTATTTTTTTTCTGTTCCATTCCAGGTTATTGGTGGTGCAAACAAATAAATATGTATATCTCTTTAATGTATCATTTAAATCACGTGTCAATCGACCATTAGAGATCTTGAACGAACATCTGGATTTTTTAATTGATTAATTAATTACAGTAAAAAAAAAAGAACATTTTATTGACACTCAATGAATCATCAAATTCAAGAGGTTTGCTTATTATTATCATTACTGTATATAGTTATTATTAATTAATTATTAATTATTATTAATTTTTATTATATATTATTATGAGATCAAATAATTAATTATTTTCCTTCTTCCAAACAAATAATAATAATAATAATAATAATAAAATATAATATAGATTTCTGGTGTACACTTATTTAATCTAAAAATTGCTAGAGAATTTTATGATAACTCGCAACCTATCACTGCTTTGGATTTTGATGGTACTGGTGAATACTGTGTGACTGCTTCAGCTGACGAAACCATAAATCTATATAATTGTCGAACGGGAAAGTAAGACGCGCTAAAAAAACTTTTATTCTTTTATTCTTTTTTATATGAATCTCGGTTTATTAATAACAATAATAAATTAATTTTTCAATAAACATAATAATAATAATAAACATAATAATGAAAAAAGTCACGGAAAATTCTCCGTTAGTAAAAAATATGGTGTACATCTTACCAGATTTACTCATTCAAATACTGAAATAGTTTACGCATCCACTAAAGAAAATGGTAAGTTATTTTTATTTTTTAGAAGAAGAATTAATTTAATTTTTGATTTAATTAATTTTAATTTTTAATTTTAATAAAAATATTAATAGACACATTAAGATATTTATCATTACGTGATAACCAATTTATAAGATATTTTGTTGGACATAAAAGTAGGCAAGTTTTTTTTTATATATTTATTTATAATCCCACCGTAAGATTAATTGTTATATTTGATTGTTGTTTATAACAATTGGTTAAATTATATTTAATTATTATTAGAGTAGTTGCATTGGAAATGTCACCTATTAATGATCAATTCTTAACAGGAAGTATTAATGAAGGTGTAAGATTATGGGATTTAAGGCAACCCAATGAAATTGTAAAGTATTATATATATTTTATAATTATTTTTATAATTATTCTATAATTATTATTATTTTATTATAATTTTCATAGTTTTAATCCTAATTCTCTGTTAGTTTGGAATAATAAATATAAAATATATATCAAATAGGGATTTATAGATATACCCTCAGGTAGACCTTGTGTGGGATATGATCCATCTGGATTAGTATTTGCAATTGCCCTTCAACATTCTGATAAAACTATCCAATTACATGATGTTCGTAAATTTAATGAGGTAATTATAATTTAATTTAATAAGGTAATTATTATTATTCTTTAGTAATAAAAAAATTAAATTCAAATTATATTTAAAAAAATTTATATTTAAATTTATCTTTTTTTTAGACACCTTTCTCAACTTTCAAAATTGAAGAAGAAGAAAATCATAATATGAATATAGACATTAATACGAACTTGAATACGAACGTGAATACGGACGTGAATGTAAATAGTAATAATAATAATAATAATAATAGTAATACTATTTTGAATTGGACAGGATTAAAATTTAGTAATGATGGACAAAAAATATTAATAAATACTTCGGGTGATGTGCATTATATAATGGATGCATTTGATGGTAATTTAAAGCAAAGATTAATTGGACATATGGGTCTTGACAATGCATCATCATTTTTGGGTGGGGAAGAGACTTGTTTCACACCTGATGGTCGTTATGTAATTTCTGGTATTTTATTTTTTTTTTATTTATTCATTTCTTTTTTATTAATTTCATTATATTATCGTGAGCATTTACATAACACAAAATAATTAATTAACATAAAATAACTAATAAAAAAGGATCCAAAGACGGAAAAATATATTTTTGGGATACTTCAAATTTAAATAATAATAATAATAGTAATAATAATAATAATAATAATAATAATAATGAATCAACAACAACAACAATAACAGCAACATCATTAACAACAGAAGAACCAATGACAATGAAACCTTTTCATATATTGAATCATCATACGTTACCAACTCAAGCAATTAAATTTAATCCTAATAAATTACTTTTAGTTAGCGCTTGTACTGATTTGGTAAGATTTCAATAATTAATTATTATGTTATTATTTTTTTTTTTTGTGTGAATGAACGATCAAAGTTCCCCGTAATTTTCTCTTTAATATTTTAAAAAACAAAATTATGGTTTTGAATTGATCGAATATTAAAAACAATAAATTGCATTAATTGGCAATTTTTTGGGTTGGTCTTGATATTTAATCTTTGACAAATAATTTGATATTTGACAAATAATTTGATATTTAGAATTGAATAAAAAAGACCAATATACACATCCTTTTTTTTTTATTATTTAATTATTTTTATTTATTTTATTTTACCTTTTATTTTTAGGTATTCTGGTTGCCTTCTTTAAATACAACTGAATTAGATGAAAATGAAATGCAACTGAATTGAATTTAAAGATTATGGTTTTAAATAATGTGAATAATTATTAATCATTATAAAAAGTTATTAATCTTTATTGATAATTATTAATCTTTATTAATAGCTGTTAATATTTATTGTCTTTATTGATAATTGTAATGATTATATCATTTAAAAGCAAGAATTATTAGTATAACAATTTTTTTTCCTTGAACATTACAATAAAGATAACAAAAAATTGGTTAACTAATAAATACTGTCTTATAATATTTATTTTATTAATATATAATTCAAAATAAAATATTTACAATATTATTATTACTATCATACCATATTATGATTATTATTATAATTACTATTTACAATATTATTATTTACAATATTATTATAATTACTATTTACAATATTATCATAATAACTATTTACAATATTATTATATTTATATTTACAATATTATTATATTTATATTTACAGTATTATTATATTTATATTTACAGTATTATTATATTTTTATATTAACATTTCTTTTTTTTTTAAAAAAAAAAAACAAAAATGCATACTTGAAAGCTCAGGATTTGACAATAGTGTATGATGTGGATAATAGTTGGAAAACCAGATTTCTAAAGAGATTATTAATGAAAATTAGAAGTGATCATAATGAATGATCTTGTGAATTCATTATTACCTGAACAAAAAACATATCATCATCATTTCAATTCATTTCATTCAATTTTTCATCATTTTTACAATAAGATATTAACTAATTATAAATTAAAAAAAAATTAAAATTAAAAAAGAAAACATTAAAAAGTTAAAATTAAAAAATAAATTTATTATATGTTGCATGTTATTTGATATATATATAAATTATTTAAATATATAATTTAACAAAAAAAAATAAAGAATAATAGAAGAAAAGAACGAACGAACGAACGAACGAACGAAAGAGAGAAAGAAAGAAAGCAAACAATTATCTTCTTTGCACATATATCGTATACCTATATCGTAAAATGATAAAATATTCCCAGGATGAAGGTTATAAACTTGTCCAACTCCATACAGTACTTGAAATATCAAAAAATATTTTAGATAATTGTAAATATTGTACACAATTACTTGTATATCGTGTACCTATTATCGTGTGCATATATATGATGGAATAGCCAAATAATTTGAGATACACCGAACCGACTTAAAAAAAAAAAAAGTTTAAAGAATGTAAAAAAAAAGAGATTAAAAATGTAAGAAAAATATTAAATAAAAGGTTTGCATCGTTACTTAAAGCATCAAATAAAGTATAAAATATGCAAAAAATATAATTAGATGAAACGAAGCTGTCGACTCATAAATAATACGAGTGAAAATTCCGTTTCGTCTAATTATATCATTCATATATCTTCATTAGCAAAAAAAGGTGATAGAACTAATAAAAAAAAAGAATAATAATCCAAAATATTTCCGAATATTTCCAGGATAAAATCACGATGAACTATAATAAGGTAACAATTTGCTTGCCAAATAAACCAAGAATTGCATAATCTGTAATATTTAATATTCAACATCAAAATGAAAAATAGTTGTCGGTCTGCGTGATCCAAGATATGTTGGTTAGCCAATTTTTTTTTTTTTTTATATTTTTATATTTTTTACTGAGATGAATGAACGTATAATCTCTGAAAATAATATTGATTTCGATATCGAATAAATATCATCTTTGTGAGAAGTCATTAAGGGTTTCTTTTTTAAGGCAAATTAATTTATAAAATTCATTTAATAAATCATCCTCGAAAACGTTATCGAAGAGACCATCTGAACCTAATATAATGATCAAGTTCCCAATTTGACTTCGTTTAAACAATTTCCAGTTGATTGATAGATTATGCTGAAGAACGCACAAGAATTCTTCCACTATTATGATGATGATGAGTACTTTGATTTTCAAATGAAATCTCACTACAATTATTCTTTTGTGATAAGGTCGACGAATGATGGTGATGATTATTATGATAATAACTGTGAATAAAACCGTTATTCCTATCATTATCATCTAATCCTGAAGAAAATCTTTCAAGATCAATATTATTATCATCATCATCATTATTATTATTATTATCAATATTATTAACTTTTGCCTGTGTATTAAATTTCAATTCAGGAACGCATACTTGTTGTCTGTTTTGACACCGAACACAAATGTTTGACCCATTTTCGAAATGACATCTTGAGTGTACAATTCTACAAGCGTAACAGGTTGACATATTGTTGTCATTATCACTATTATATTCATTTTTCTTAAAACCATTATTATTGGATAATAATGAATTTGCAAATACTTTATTATCATCATATTTCGATTGTTCATTTAATACTAAATTGTGTTGAAATGATTTCCCTTCATCTTTTATGGTTTCAATTCCGTTTAAATAACAATTTCCAAGATTATTTTGTCCCATATTTTCATCTGAATTAGCTGATTTCGAGTACCATTGAAATGCTTTCTTTTCATCTTTTGTTGTTCCATTTTGGTAATGACAATGATGTACATTAAAATCTTTAATAGTATTTCTCCTTTCAGAGTACCATTGAAATGTTTTCTCTTCATTTACTTTATTTGCTAAAACGTAAAATTTTCTTCTTTGATCGTTATTTTCTGATTGCCAACCTAAAATTAACTTATTTCTGTTATCACAATTAAATTCTCGAATTTCTGATTCTTTATCTATTTTACAGACATTGTTATTGTTATTATTGTTGTCGAATTTGAATTTATCATCATCATTATTATTATTATTATTATTTGACATATTATTTAAAGCTTTTGGAGGTTTTGGAGGTGAAAAACTTAAGGTAGAGGTGGTGGTGGCGGTGGCGACATAAGGATGAGGTAAAGGAACAGATTGAGATTGATCTGACCTAAATATTTTAATAATACTTGGAGATCCCGGAGCACTCGCTGCAGGAGTGTTGGGATAAATATTATTACTACGAGTAATAGTGGGGAACAAATTAGGTAAAGTAGTAGTAGATAAATCAGGAGATAAATTAGTCATATTGTTGATAGGTTTTTTACAATCCATAGTCAGAGGATCAATAGATTTTAAAATTTCCCGAAATCGTGAAACTTCTCTTTGATTTTCTAATCTCCTAAATGCGTCTGGACTAGAAATTTCCGTTCCTGAAATAGCTTGAATGTGAGTCAATAATAAACTACTCCAACGTTTAAAAATATCTTCGGATATAAATAAATCATAATCAATTAATTTAAGAAAACAAATTTCGTTGGCATTAATTTCATTTACAGGAAGACCAGAAATTTTGGACCAAGCTCGATTAGAATAATTACGATCTTGAAGATATTTTGATGCAACGATTAATGCAGCCAAAAACATTCGTCTACCGCAAGTCGCTGGATCATTATTTTGATTATTAATGGTGTTATGATGAGATAAATCAGGTGGATGCTCCGACGTCGGAGTTGGTGGTAACCCATCAATAATGGTGGTAGGAGGAAGAGAACGTCGAGAAGAAGAAAAAAATGAAGATGGCGAAGTAGATGGAGAAGAAGATGAAGATGATAATGAAGTAATAATGGATTTAATTCGAAAGAGATAGAATAACGCAGTTTGGAGCGTTGAATAGGAAGTACGTGAACGTCTCAGAGTTTCCTGAAGAAATACACGTAGAGTAATGATTTTTGCGCTAGGACTCACGGAAAAGTTTGCCCAAATTACCTCGATAATAAGGCCTGCAGTATCTATTGATTATTATTTTTTTTTCCAAATATTATAGTATTATAATAATAATAATAATAATAATAATAGAAATAATGAAAAATGAACATGTTTAAATTTAAGAAAACATGATCTAATGAAATTTTTATTTATTTATTTTATTTTTAAATCATTTTTTTTTTTTTTAAAAAAAAAAAATCGGGGATGTGAGAGAGAGAGAAATCGTGGACTATCACTCACCGACAAGATTTTCGACAAAAGCAGCCTTACGATGTTTTTCACTAATTAAAGTTGGAATAATATTAAGAATCGAAAATTCTTGATCATCATTTTCTGGAGCATCAGGGTGATCTACATTCCTTGAAGTTGTTAATTCTTGATCATCATTATTATTATTATTATTATTATTATCATTATTATCACTGCTATCATTATTATTAATTCCCGAAGTTGTGTCATTCAAAGAGCTTGTAGCAATATTATTATTATTATTATTATTATTATTATTAATATTACGATTAATCATATATGGATCAAGTTTAGTTTGTGACGTTTGTCGCAATTCTTCTTTGTCAATTTGAAGTTCTCTGTCATATTGCTGTTGTTGTTGTTTGAACCCTAAATCCGAATTGTTCCGAATATAAGCCATCATAATAGCAGCATTCTGAGGATGAGAATTATGAGGACGATGAGAAGATCCAAGATTTCCTATATTACTATTTGACCAGTTAACTTCATGATAATAATCTTGAGAAGATTTGTTATCTTTTTGAGTATTAGAAGTAATAGGAGTGTCTAGATTCATGTATGAATTCTCAAAGTAAAAATTCTCCAAACTAGAATGATGGTCTAAAACCGAATATTTACTATTTGCATCTAATTTTATACGTTTGGCTTTGGTATTCACATCTTCCAAATGATGTTTTGAAGGTGGGAGTAGTTGAGGAGAAGAAGAAATGGAAGGTAGGACTAGTTGTAAAGAAGAAGAAGCGGAGCTAGTGATATTGCCATACTTCTCGTTGGGAAATGTTGTCTCTGTTTGTTGTATGTTCATAGTGGTTGTAGTAATCACCTTGTCTAAAGATCATCAAGAATTTATCAAGGTAGGTTTAATAACATATAATATATAACATTTCTTTAATTCAAAATAAAAGTCAAAAGTAAAAAAAAAAAAATTAAACTAAATTAAGACACGCAGCAATAAAAAGTTAGATAATTATAGTTTTAAGAAAGAAGTTAAGAAAAATGTGAATAGATTAAGGAAGAAAGTGGAGTAAAATAAGCCGCAGAATCAAAGAATAATAATCGGCGCAGTTATTTTAATAAGAAGACTAGTACACTAACTATTATATTATTATTATTATTATTATTAGTATATTAGTATTATTATTATAATAACCTATTATTCATTTGTTTGATTATGATTGCAGAAACAAACGCAAACGCATCGTATATATAACGTTCAGACTAATAAGGGAGGTTTGTTAACTGCGGTTTTCATAAAACGCAGCCTTGTGCTATGCGCAGTACAGAACAATTTTTTAAATTGTTTATTTTATTTTTTTTTTGTACTAAATGAAGTACTTTTTTTGTGACCAAAAAGATTAACTTTAATTATCCTCTTTATTGTGTGTATTATAGTTTACTATAGTTTTATATCTTTTTATATTTTTTATAAATAATAGAAATATAAGAATTATAAGAAAAATCTCAGAATTTCAGTGTGTTTTCTAAAAATTTCTAAAAATTTCTGGAAAAAAGTTTCTCTATTAATCTTTGTTCTTTTACCTGTAAAGACATGCAACAAATTTAGTAATATGTAATAATTATTTGTTATATGTTACAGATGTTATTATTATTATTATTATTATTATTTAATTAATGTCTCTTTATATGAAAATATTAAACAGTAATAAATCTGTTTCATTTTTATTGTTTCTTTCTTAGACAATTTTTTCCTTCTCTTTTTTTTTTCTTAATTTTTAGAAACCCGATACCTTAATTTTTTAATGTTACCTTTTATTTTTTTAATTTGGTTCAACAAATATCAGATGATCTTTTTGTTTTGTTTTTTTATAGGTTCTTGATTTCTTTTTTGGATGAACCAGAGCGAAAGATAACAACTAAATATAACAATCTTGTGTTACTTTTTAAAACGTGAACTGTGAATTTTTTTTTATATAAAAAAACGTCGAATTTAGATTTTCATTTTATTTTTGTATCTAATTTTTTTTTTGTATATTTATGACCCAATTTACGTATATCCATTTCCAAATCACATTTCTTTTTTTGTAAATTTCAAATAACCTAATATCTTGCCCTTCAAACAATAATTTCTTTTTTTCTATTTATCAAAATAACAAATAATATTTCTTCTTTTTAAAAAATTTTCATATCCTTCTCATTCTTTTCATATTATTTATTTTTTTTTGTTTTTTTGTTTTTAATCTAATTTAATTTATTTGTATCTTTTTCTCTTACTTACCACCTTCTCCTTTGTATTTGGCATATATGAATTTGTATGGTCATTTATGGATTCATTTAAAGCATTAAAAGGTAATATTGACCGCAAGCTGTATCACATCAATTTATAATAATAGGAAATAAACGAAATAACTTCTAATTATTACTACGCAAAAATATTCGCCACTGAAGAATATTAAAGAAAAGAATATTATAAAAAAAATAAAAATAAATAATCCGCCAAAGAATATTAAAAAAAAAAGAGTATTAAAAATATAGTAGATAAATGATTAAGCAAAAAAGATCGAATCCGCAAGATCCCGAGTTTTTTTTTTTTTTTTTTTTTGATATAGTGATTGATGGATGGTGATTGATGAACGATGATTGATTGATGGTGGATGGTGATTGATAAATGATTAATGTTGTTAATAGTCATTAAAAAATAGTAAACTAAACGTTTTAAAGAAAGAAAAGAAAAAAAGAAAAGAAGAAATAATTCCATTATCAACCTTGTAATGGCTATTGCTGAGTATTGAATTTATTTATAATTTATCGAAAATGGAATTTAATTGGGTAAAAAATTTATACCCAAATCTATATCAAAAATTTGATGTACTGTAAATAAACTATTAAGGTATAATTAAATAAATCAAATAAATCACAAACATAAATTAAATAAATTAAAAATAAGTTAAAATAAAAATAATTAAGTATAAATAATAAAAATTATATAAATTCTTATTATATTTATAAAATGTCCGAAAACGATAATAATGCGTTAATACGGCTTGATGCTTTACGAAATCACCTCGAAATTAAAACAATTAATAAAAATTCAAAAGAATGGAGAACTTTATCACAAAGTCAAAGTTTAATCGTTTGTATGAACCGTGATAGAAAATGGAATGGTTATGGATACAAAGATACTTTCTTTAAGTTTACCGAACAAGGAACCGTGATTTTATCTGGAAACCGTTATTCGAACTTTAGTTCAAAAGAATTTCATGAACTTCGACCTTGGCTTGAACAAACTTTACGAATAAATTTAAAAACCTTATGTCAAGCCCAACCTTCCATAATTGAGATATCAAGTCCTGAGGTAAATCATGAATTTTATAATTCAATAAAACCTCAAGGGATATGGATTTCTTTCGCGGAACAAGATCGATTATCACATGGACACGGAGTAAGCACTAATGAAATTTATAAATTAAGATATAAAAATTTATCCAAAATTCCTGATGCTGTGATTTGGCCCGAAAATCATGATCAAGTTGAACTTATCATTTTAGCCGCTCAAAAATATGATGTTGGTTGTATACCATTTGGTGGTGGATCTAATGAAGTTAATGCATTAGAATTTCCTTTGGAAAATAATAAAAAAAGAATGATCGTTTCTTTGGATATGAGAAATATGAATAAAATTTTATCATTAAATACTGAAGATATGTGCATCACGGTAGAAGCTGGCGCAATTGCGAAAGATTTGGAAAATGAATTAAGAAAATTTGGATTTACTTTAGGTTGGAATACTGAATTGGTATTTTGAAATTTGAATTTTTTTTTTTTTTTTAAAATATTTTAATCTGAACTACAAAAGCTACAAAAGTAGAATTCATATTAAATATATTTATTATTATTATTATATTTTATTATATTAGATGGAATTTAGTACAATTGGTGGATTAGCATCTTTGCGTTCTGGTGATTTCAATGGTCATAAAGGAAATATTAATAAAAATTTTGAAGAAAATATTGTTAATATTAAAATGGTTACTCCCGCAGGTATATAATTTTCTTGTTATATTTTTAACAAAAATGCATAATTAATGTATAATTAATATAATTAATGTATATTTGATGGATATTTTAAAATATATTTGATATATTTTTAATGTATATATTAATATAGGTATAATACAGAGAAGTAACTTAATCACACCACCAGTTTCATCTGGTCCTGATATAACAAATTTATTATTAGGTTCAGAAGGTTCATTAGGTGTTATAACAGAATTAACTTTCAAATTACAATTTTCTTCCCCTCATCATCGTTACATTTCTTTATATTTTTCTTCGTTTCAAAATGGACTTGAATTTCTACGTGAAATTGTTCAAAAGAAAGTGATTCAAAATTATAGTGGAATTCATTTAGTGGATGAATTAGGTTTACAATTGATTCAAGCATTTAGTACCGTGACACCTAATGTTACCAATATTTTCTTTGATTCAATTAAAAAATTTTATTTGAAAAGGTGGAAAGGATTAAAAGTTGGTAAAATGTGTTTAGCAGCATTAATACTTGAAAATAATGATCTCTCTAAATTAGATATGGATGAAAAGAATATTCAAAAGATTGCCACTAATTATAAAGGAATAATGGCTGGAAGTGAATTAAGTGAGACAATGTTTTTCTCATCAAAGGTAAAAAAGAATATATTTCATAATAATAATAATAAGATTTATAAATCTTTTCAATTATTTCAATTATTTATAATTATTTTTATATCTATTTTTTTTTTTTATATGTATATTAGATATTACCATATTTCAGAGATTTTCTTCTTGATTATTATGCCATCTCTAATTTTTTGGATACATCAACACCATGGTCAAATATTAAAGAATTAATTATAAAAGTTAAAGAAAGAATTATTTCTATTTGTAAAGAGCAGGGTGTTAAAACCAGACCATACATTGGAGTTAGAGTGGCTCAAGTGTAAGAAAATTCATGAATTCCTGTTAAAATTTTATTGATTTTTGAAAAAAAATAATCAAAAATTTAATTTTTATCAAAATAAATTTATTTAAATAGATATGAAACAGGTGTAGGCTTAACATTTATTTATGGATTTAATTGTCATAATCTTGATGATCCACTTGAAACATTAAGATGTGTAGAAAAAGATGCATTAACTGAAATCTTAAAATCAAATGGATCAATTTCTCAAGGTATTTCAGGTATAGGTAAAAGAAAAAAAGAATGTTATTTAAAATCTTTATCAGAGGTAATATAAATATATTCACTTTTTTCATAATTTTTTTTTTATATTTAATTTTTTTAAATTTTCTATTAAATTTTCTTCTAAATTTTATTTTATATCTTTATTTAATTTATGAAATAATAATTAGCCTACTATAGAAATATTAAAAAACGTAAAAAGGTGAGTAATAATTACACATTTGTTTTGATTTTATTATATTAATTTATAATAACAACTTATGTTTACAATTCTATATTTACATTTATTCTATCTATTTTTTTCAGAATTTTGGATCCAACAAACATATTTTGCAATCAAAACTTAATTCATAATGATGATGATGATAATATATAATTATGTAAATATTTAATTATTTAATGGAACTTATAACTTGTTATTTTTTTTTTTAAAAAAAAAAAACGATTTTTATTTTGTTAAAAATTTCCACGGCTATTTATTCACAACTATTTATGTATGTATATATATAACTTACAAAATAAATTCATCACATTGAAAAAAATGTTTTTTTTTTCAACTCATTTCAACAATGACATATTTGAAAAAAAAATGAATAGGATATTAACAAAGTTATAACAAAGAACTTAAAATAATGTTATAAATTCATTCCTCATTATAGAAAAAAAATGAGAAAAGAAAAGATTTGAATTATTCTTTCTATTATCAATGACCCAAAAGTTTGATTATTATTATTTATTTATTTAACCCCACTGAGATTATTTTAAAAGAAAAAAAAATTTTAAAGACTGAATTTAAAACGAACTATTGAATATTCTCTTCAAAGTAATAATAGTACGTTATGATATAAATCGTAGTGGAGATTTGGAGAATTGCTATTATTGGAATCCACATTCACCAACTCAGAAAGTAAAGAAGATCCATAAGCACTCAGGAAGAACTCAAGAAGTAAAAAAAAGGAGTTCTACCAAGTTAAGAAGTAAAGGAGAAGTTCGATGATGAAGAATGCGTACGAATAATCCAACCAAATTTAATAATAAATTCATCGAACGTTTGTTGAAACAGGCCATGAGATACTCTATTATGTTCTTCGAGGCTTTTTTTTCAAAAAATTAATCAGTTAACAATCAATTAGATATTATTTTAAATATTATAATTTAATATAAAAATAAAATAAAAAAAAGGTTCTCACTTTTTCGCCCATTCGTTAACAACCAAACGTCCGTGCATTTTTCCTTCATTAATTTTATTAGATACATTGGTAATAGCTTTTTTCCAATATTCAGCCAATTTGATATAAATATCTCGTTTGAGTTCGTTATGCAAGTTATTCTCCCAGTTGGGCAATCGATGTACAAAGCCAGTAGCTAAGTGTAAGAAAGAGAACGTATTAGTTGAGAATTCTTCAGGAGATGTAAAATGGTCCGCATAATCCAAAATAGCTCCCTAAAGATTAAATTTGAAAAAATAATAATAAAAATAATAATTATGAGTATTATCTTTGAATAAAAAAAAAAAAAAGTGAATTATGAAAAGGTGAATTATGAAAAGGTGAAAAAAGATAGATATCTGAGATTGAATTTTACTTTTAATTCTACAATTCCAGGTTTTACTCTATTGAAACTATAGTCATCTTTGGAATGACCCCATTTCGTATATGGAAAGCTTTCTTGATATTTTTTCTCCATACTTATTAAAATAGCCGTAACCGATTGAATGGTTGGCCGAGGAATATGGGAAGCAATTTCGGATTGTAAATTAGGATGAGAATCGATGAGATTATTTATTAGTGACAATAACTGAGGTTTGTCAAGGGTTCCTAATTAAAGAAAAAATTAAAATGTATTAATGATTAGGTTATTATTTAATTTTAATTTATTTAATATATTACATATATGCAAAAAAAAATTAAACAAAATGTTAAATTTTTACCTAATAATTTACTTAATGGGAATTCCTTTTCGTTACCAAGTTTTGTTCTTTTTACCATTGCCTCCATATCGTGTATATGGTTATTAATTTGGGGAGAACTGGGTGGTGTTTTACTTTCACTCATAGATTCATCAGATTCATCGCCCGGTTTTCGTTTACCAATAACTATTTATATTAATTTATATTAGTTTATATAATTTATATAATTTATAATATCATTTATATAAGGCCAGTTTAAAAAATAAAAATAAAATAATATATATATATATATTTCGAAAATAATTTGGGAATTTCAAATTTTATAAAATTTACAAAATGCAAAGGTAAGATCTACCTTTATTCAAACTTTCAGAAACGCCAGCAGCTGCAAGTCTTTCTTTGTATGCCAACTTTTGTTGGGAATGTGGACGGAATGGATGAAAGAAGGTAGGTTGGTGTTGGTGAAGGTTTCGTGTTAACGGAAAGCAAGGTGAATTATTATTCATATTTGTAAAGTTGATAGTTGATAAGAAGAATAACGAAAAGAGAGGTTTTTTTTTTAATTATAAAATGCAATCAAGGAAATAGGAATGACTTTAAATTTGAAGTTGTTATTATCAGTGTGGAAGAAATTTGGTGGTTGGGAATAAAAATGACTTTATGCCAAACTATAAAAAAAAATTCACAGGACGAGTGATGATTGTGTAATCCGATTACGAACAATTTTATGTAAATTATATTCTCAAATTTCTTCAAAGTTTTTGCTGTTGAAAAGTTTGCATATATTTATATGTGTTACGAAAACTTATTTTGAGTCCGTGATTTATTATATTTTTTGAGGCGTATTATTTTGTTCTTACAACATTTAAATAATATAAATATATTAATACATCTCATTGTTTAGTAATTTTTTCTTTTCTTTTTATTGGAGTGTCTATGAAATTTACATAATAACATTGGCAATTGGACGCTCCTTTCTTTCTTTGAACCTTCTTTAAAATTTTGGTACAACGATAGTTATTATTTTGATTAAAAGGCGGGAGGGATGTTGTAATTGCTTCGATCTTTTTAGTCATAAACACGTGTATCACATGATAGATTTGTAATATAAAAACTACCATTTTTCTTTTTTTTAAAAGAATTAAACAGAAAAAGAATAAAATGGCGGGAGACGATCACCATAACTGTAAATACTGAATAATAATAATAATAATAATAATAATAAAATATTAAAAGTAAATTTCCATTTACAATTTATAAAATTTTTTGTTATTTTTTAAGCTTTACTTAAAGATCCCGCAATTGAACGGTGGGCTAATATAAGAGGTGGCTCTACCAAATACTTTAGATTTAGTGGTCCAAATATTCGAATGACTTTATTTTGTTGTGTAATAATTCCCGTTGGACTTTATTTCTTAGCTCTTGAACATGACGTTAGTATATTATTGTATTTTTATCTTAAATAAAAAGAATTATAAGAATTATAATAATTAAAATATTAAATTTTTTACTGAATTTAATAATAATTAATAATTCTAATAAATAAAGGATAAATGGGATTTAACTGCCAAAACTAGAGGTTCCAAATTTGAAGATTATATTAAGAAAAAACCGAAAAAAGAATGAATTTAAATTCAAAATAAAAATAGATTTCAAATATTTATTTTAAATCTCTAATCTTTTTTTTATTTATCCAATAAAGAAAAAAAAAATATAACGCCAACGTAATTTTTTTCTTTTTTTGATCGAAATTATATCAAATACATCGAAAGATATCATTGAAGAAATTTAATTACGTATCATCATCAACCAGTATTAAGAAACACATATATATATATATATATATATATATCAGATAATAATATTAAAAAAAAATGATTGATCCAATTTAATCTGTTACCTCCTTCTATCCCTAAGATTCCTATCTCTTCGATCATCCCTTCTATCCCTATCAGCCCTTAACCCACCATTTCTATCTCTGTAACGATCCCTATCTCGATCTCTGTCCCGATCTCTTTCTCGATCCCTATCCCGATCTCTATCTCGATCTCTGTTTCTATCACGTTCTCTATCATTCCCAATTCCCCGAAAATTTCTACCACCTCTATCACGATCACGATCCCTATTTCTGTCTCTCCAAAGACTATTACGTCTTTCAATAGATCGAGGTGGAGCACCATGAAAAATTGCCACATCCAAAAAGTCTCCAATAACAAATCTGGCATCATCAAGGTTTGTGTCATGATCAGAGGAAGGAGATAAATTATGAATTGCACCTAAATCTTTAAGTACATATTTTCCTCGTAAATTATCAAGATAAACTAATTTGAATGATAACCGTGCATTTGGTTTATTGGCTTCGGCATTTACTTCTCTAAAAAGATTGGCAATTTCTTTCAATGTAGCATCCTTCCTATAATAATTTAAAATGAAAAACAATAATAATAATAATAATAACAATAACAATAATAATAATAAATAATAATAAATAATACACATTACCAAGTATATATTTGTACTTCATTTTCGGTCGGAAGATGTTCAGGTGTATAATCATCGGGTCTATATCAAAAAGTAATAAAAGTAATTCTAATTTAAGTATTTTTTTTTTTACCTCGATATATAAATAAAAATTTTAATAAAAAAAAAAATACCTATGGTGATGGCCTTGTCTCCAAAATATTCGTAACAAGAATGGAACAGTCTTTAGAATTAATCAAAACCCATATAATGATAATAATAAATTAATATATACATTCATAAAATATTTAATAAAGTAAAAAATTTAAAATTTACCAGACTAGTTTTAAACCATATTAAATAACTGTAAATTTGTAAATCTATTAACCTTCTCACGATCTACCACTAGTTTATTTTTACCAACAACTGTTGCGGTCGTAATAATTTTCTGTGCTTCATTCGACATCATTCTTTCGACGTACTAGATCTATTATTGAAATGAACTATACTTTGGAAATAATGAAAGGAGAACTAATTTAAGCCGTGACGCGAGAGACAAAAAAAAAGATAAAATGGATGTTTGTACCACTATACGGATTTTTTTTTTTAATGACGAAATATTTAAAATGTTTTAAATCGAGAAAAAATTGATCGTCGACCCTTCTCCTCAACCTTTCCCTAAAATTATTATTATATAAACATTATAAACATTAATTCTATTTATTCTATTATTCAAAAATGCCTTCTCATTTAGCTAACTATTCAAGTCTCAACAGGTAAAGTTGTAATAATAATAATAATTCATTTATTTGTTGCATTTCTTAATTTATATTTATATTTCATATTTTATCATTGTTTAGATATTCTCGAACTTTATATCAAACTCTTTTCAAGCGTAATACAGTTTTCTTAGTTGGGATTTTTACTACTGCATTTGTTTTTGAAATGGGTTTTGATACTGCCTCCGATCGCCTTTGGGATCATTTGAATAAGGGAGTAAGTATATCTATTTATAGATATTTTACTTATTTTTATTTTGATTCTTTTTTTTAATTGAAAGTAAAATGATAAAAAAATAAATTATATTTTTTATCTATACGCATTTGTTATTTCGATAGAAACAATGGAAAGATATTAAAGATAAATATGCTAGTAGTTAGAAGAAGAAATTTAATGTAAGAGTTCAACTAAATATTTATTATTATTATTATTATTATTATTATTATTATTATTGTACAACAGTAGAATAAAAATTTTGATAATTGAAATCTATATTTATGTGTGTTTTCACTTTTTCATATGTAGCTTTCTTCTTGAGCTGCTATATTTGTTATTTTCGAGAGGAAAAAAAATCAAGAAATTGAATAATAAAAATTTATAACTAATTTAATTGCACAAAAGAATTATAGAAAAAAAAAAAGTATATATAAAAGCTGAGAAAAAAATATTCCTAATATATTCAAGCAAGGAGGATCCAGAAAAGGAGTGATATTTAGCTTGGTTTCCATTTTGCCCATTCTACTAATGTAGCGTCATCAATATAATCATATCTCCAAATATATCCATCTTCACCGGCTGCAATAACTTGTCTTTTTTTTTAAGCAATTATAATAATATTATTAATTATTATTATTATTAATTATTATTGATTGATTGGGAAATAATTATATTATAATATTCTTTAAAAATAACTTACTTGCAGTCCCGAGAAAAGACACAACATCTCACAGCTTTGGTTGACCTTCTGTGACGAAGTTCTGTTACCAACTTACCATTTATAACATTATATATAATGATACTACCATTGCTAGTACCCACACAGAAAAATTTTTCATCAAGACTATTTTAAAAGATTTTCATTTAAAGTAATAATATTATTTATTTATTTGTTTATTTATATTTATTTATTTTTTTTTTTTATTATTTTCTTTTATTTTTTATTTATATTATTTTTTTTTTAATTCTCACCTTACATCAAACCTTGACCTATTATTAATACCATTCTTAATAGTAAAAGATCTAAGTCCTTCGAAAGTTTGATAATTCCAATATTCAATCTTACCATTTACTGATTTCGAGAGTACATGCTTGTTTGCAAAGCGAATACAATCTGATATATTTTGAAATTATTTTAATAATGTGAAAATTTATAAAGAGAAAGAGAACAAAGATATAGTGATATAAGAAAATACCTATTTGACTGGTATGGATTTTTTTATATCGTGTTATCAAATCTTTATGACTGAAATTTAAAGTTCGTGTGGGAATATTTACCAAATCTGGAGTTTCCCATATCCTTATTTCTCCATTATAATTTCCTGTCAAGAACGTTTGTCCTGAAGGATGCCAACACTTTTTAAATCATATAATTAAAAATATTTAAACCATAGAAAATATTTTTTTTCCATCCACTTTTTTTTTTAAATAATATCAAATTATTTAATTTTACCATTACGGAAACTTTAGTTTCAAACACATATAAACATGTGCCATTCTCAACATTCCATAATCTAACAGTGGAATCCTTCGATGCAGATAATAAATGAATATCATCTATTGGATTCTTTTGAATATCAGTAATGATATCTAGAAAAAAATGAATCTATGAATTATTATTATTGTGGTTGTTATTCATATAAATTTCGAAAGAAAAAAAAAAAAAAAAAGATTATATAACAAATCTACCTGTGTGTCCTTTTATTGTTCGTAAAGTAATAGAGAGTGTAAGACTAATAATATATATGATACAAGAATTTCCAGCCACTGCCAATAATGCATCATCATCACGATGTATCCAACAACAAGTTAATAATTCCTAAAAAGAAAAACGCATCGATTTCGTTCGATTTGTAATTTTTATTTAAAGGAAAACAGTAATAATGATAGAAATAAAAAAAAAAAATAGAAACATACACTTGAAGCCAAATCTACGTTTTCACCTACTGCAAAATTAGACATTATGTCTAAATGATCTCCACAATGTTCATTATCATAAATATTCGCCTATTCGTATAATAATAATAATAATAATAATAATAATAATAATAATCAAAATAAAATAAATAAAATAAAATAAAATAAAATAAAGTAGAATGAATAATAAGAATAATAAAATTTTGTATATACCTGAAAATCACCAACACTCGCTAAAATATTACTTGTGTCTCGTTGATTCCTTTCGACGTGACCAAGTTTATTAAATTTTTTTTTATATTGTGCTCCTACTGGAGCTTCATAATTATTCAAGTTGAAAAAGAATGCTAACTGATTTATATCGTGACCATGATTTTCTTTCACAATTCGACGTAGACGAAAATTACGAAAACTTAAATCAGATGTACTGGACATTGATAAGATCTTTAATACAAAAAAATTTTGTGTTTCCAAAGTTATAGTAATTGTAACATTAGTGATATTTATATTATTATTATTATTATTATTCTTATTATTCTTATTATTCTTATTATTTACATCATTAATAGTAGTAATTACATCTTTAATATCATTAATATCATTAATATCATTATTGATATTTACATCATTATTAACATTAGCGTCATTTGTAGCATCATTAATGTTACTGGTAGTATTGACACTTGAAGTTGTTACTTTGGTGCTCGTTGATGAAAGTGTACTTTCAAATGTTTTAGAATCGTTGGTGCGTCGAGACCGTTTTCTAACCGGTTTTACAATTTCAAGTTCCGGACACGTTTGAACTGGAGATATTGGCGCAAATAAATTTTTGCCTTCCGTTTCATTATTAGATTTCTTTGCTGCCGAAGATCGGGTCAACATTTTGTAATAACAATAAGAATTTACAAAAAGAGAATTAAAAAAAAAAAATTGGAAAAAAAAACGCGTTCTTTTGGTAAATCAGTAAATCAGTGATCATCCTAACTCGAAAAATTGGATTTAACTTTATATGGATAGATTACATAAAATTAACCATTTAAAGTAATTAAATGATGATTTAAGATCAGATAATCGCATTTACCAAAGTTTATAACATTATCTATCGAAGATTTAACCTTTAACGAAAAAAAAAAAGAAAAGAGAATGGGATACTCGCTGAGATATCTAATTTCTTATTTAATTACCCTCTCCATTATTGTAGTGTTTCTGCTTATCATTACAGGAAGAATTGATCTTCTTTTACTATTGAAGACTACTAATCCTTACTCTTGGGCGGTACTTGGAATAGCATTATGTATAGGACTAAGTATTGTGGGAGCAGGATGGTAAGTTTAGAAAATTATGATTACGCACCCCTTAAACATTCCTTGATTTATATAAATTTAATTAAATTTTTTTTATTTAACTCTTTATAAAGGGGTATTTTCATTACAGGATCAAGTATTTTGGGTGGAGCTGTCAAAGCCCCGAGAATTAGAACCAAGAATCTTATAAGGTGTACAGTAAAATAGAGTTTTTCTTCACAACTATGTATCATTCATAATTTCTTATTATTATATAATTTCCTAACATTTTATTCCATTTTAATAATAATAATAATAATAAAAAAAGCATTATTTTTTGTGAAGTAGTTGCTATTTATGGAGTCATCATGGCTATTGTATTTTCTGCAAAATTACAAAGTGTATCAGGAGAAACTTTGTATACACCATCAAATTATTTTACGGGTAAAAATTATATTAAATATTTAATAATAATATTTTTTTTTAATTATTATTTTGATTATTATTATTTTAATTATTATTATTATTTTAATTATTATCATTATATTTTAATTATTAAGATTATTTTATTATTATTTTTATTTTTATTTTATTCATCTCGAATTTTTTTTTTTAAAAAAAAGGTTATTCACTTTTCTGGGGAGGAGCAACAGTAGGATTTTGTAATCTGTTTTGTGGGATAGCTGTGGGGATTTCTGGAAGTACAGCTGCTTTGGCTGATGCACAAGATCAAACATTATTTGTTAAAATTTTGGTAATTGAAATTTTTGGAAGTGTACTTGGATTATTTGGTTTGATTATTGGATTACTTGTGGTAAGTTTTAAAAAATTTTATAATATTAATATTATAATTTTATTTACTATTTCTTTTTAATTTTATTATTTATTATAATTTACTATTATAATTTATTATTATTATTTATTTATTATTTTTTATATATATATTTTATATATATTATATAGACTGGAAAAGCAACAGAATTTTCTTAAATAAAAAGAATTTATTTTTGTTATTGATATTTAATGTTTACTTTTTAAATGAAATATTATTATAAATGTGTTCCAAATTGAATATAGCAGTAATGTTCTTTTTTTTATATAAGTTTTATTTTCTTTAGGAGAGGAATTTGTATTATAATAATTACAGATTATAATTATTAGAATTAAACAATGTATTTTTATTATTCATATATTATATATTTTCAATTATATATGATAGGTTTTCAAATTATCAAAAAATATTTATAATTCCTTTATATTGATAATTCTTTTTATATTGGTAATACTTTCCAAATTAAATTTTAAAAATATTATGACATTTAAGCAGTTAAAATGTCAAATCCAATTAATAATGACATCCCAAAAGGTTTTTATCACATTCAAAATATTGAAACAATAATTGAATTAATAATTATATAATATAATTATTTTATACAATATAATAATGAAATTAATAGCCAATATAATTAAAAATATTTAAAGGTTATACAAAAAGCAATAATAAAAAAGTTTATTTAATAAATATTGATATTAATGGAATAGTGAAATTAATTGATTGACATAACGTATAAGTTTTAATATATTTATAATAGTTTATAATATAATTTTAATTTTTGAAACTTAAAAATTAAAGATACATTCATAACTAATGATTGGGGTTTTGAACGATTTGTAACTTATTAGATTCATCTCATAAGGAATCGAATGGTGATTGTTTCATATCAATTGGATCGATGTTGACCGAGATATTTTAATTCAAGCATAAAATATATATTTTTTTTATAATTATCTTGTGATATTTTTTTATGTAGACTAGAATATAAAGATTTAAAAAGAAATCTTATAATTTATTATCCAGTATAAAAATTCCCTCCAAAAATTGATAATTACTAAGCAATTTAATATATGACTAATGTATATTTAAATAAAATTAATAAAATTAGATCCCTAATTTTTTTTTTTTTAGCAAACCCCAAGTATAAATATTTATTTTGGGGGTCCTCTTACACTTGTCACCTAATAAATTTTAAAAAAATAACTTCTTGTCAAAAGTGTATATAATTCAAAGTATTATTATATTTGATTTGATTTGATTTGATTTTTAGGCTAAATAAGATATATTTCACTTAATTGCAGTTTTTTTTTTTTAACCTTTTGTAGTTTTATATAATAATTATATTTTATGTTGAACAAATAAATAAACTAACTGGTGAAAAATGCTTTTTTTTGATAACTAAACTATTATGGATTAGAAAAAAAAAAGAAATTCATTATTAGTATAATACCAATAATACCAATGATAATATTAATTGGTATTGGTATTATTGTATTATTTAGTATAATATTGATAAACAGTTTTAAAATTTAATTTTGACAATACCAATAATATATGATCTACATAATGTACAATAATACACATAATAAAATTTAAAAAAAAAATACCCGATCAAAGTTTTTATTACATGTCATTTTCTTAATGGTTCTAAATTTTAAATATCTTCTATTAATCATCGTACGGTCACCTGTATGCGTCATCTGTTGTCAACAAAAGAACGCACAATCTTTTTATTAATAAAAAAGAGGTGCATTCTGATAATTTATAAAAAAATTAATTCCTTTAGAGGAATAATAGTATGTAATTTAACGATACACGGCGTATGAAGAATCTAATTTTTATTTGTTCTTTGATTAAATGGATTAACGTTCATAGAGATAATTTCTTCATCATGCACCGTTGGGAAGGTAATTATTATTCGTCTTGACTGCAATTGATGTACCCTCACATTAAAAAATTCGGTTCCCTCTTTTTTAATTGGTCCTTTTATAGACGTAACATGTTTTTTTTTTTTTGACCCTTGGCGTAGAAATTTTATTTAGATTTTTCCTTCACCTGTTTATCCTTTTATATCCTGCGTTGAATTTTTTTTAGCCGTCTCTCCCTATTTATTTTGCAAATAAAAATATTTCCTTTTTTCATTACATTTTCTACTCGTGTTTTTTTCTCTTCAAAATAATTAAATAATTTCAATTTCTTTTTTCTTTTTTCCTTCAAAAGAAAAAAAAAAAAATCAATAAAAACTTACTTCTAACAATAACAAAATCATACCAAAATGAGAGAAATTATTCACTTGCAAACTGGTATGCGTTATTTACGTTATTTTTGTTTGTTTGTTTTTTTAACGATTTATTATATTTATATATCTCATTTTTGTTTTTTATTATTGTCTTATCGTTTGATTATTTCTTTTAGGTCAATGTGGTAACCAGGTATTTGTCAATAAATAATTTGCGAGATTCAACTTTCGAATCACAAAAAAAAATAACGCGTCTTACTTTTTTGTTACGTCTGCAACTAAAAGTGATTAACGTTGACTTCGTTATTTTTTCTCGTGTCATCTGTTTCATCTGTTAACCTTAGATTGGTCAAAAATTCTGGGAAGCTATCTCTGCTGAACACGGTCTTGACCCCTCAGGTGCTTATCATGGAGACAGTGATTTACAGTTAGAACGAATCGACGTATATTATAATGAAGCTATGGGTGGAAAATATGTGCCAAGGTTAGTTTCTAAACTTTCTTTTGATGATTTTGGTTAAAATCAAGTTGATAAAAATTGATATAAAATATTACAAAAATATATAAATGGATATATTGTTATCTATTTTTTAACTCTTAATTTGTACATATTATATACAATATTATATTTAATTGATCTAACCTTGATCCAACCCTTTTTTTTATTTTTTTTTTTTTGGTAATATTTTCCCACCTAAAGGGCTATACTAATAGATCTTGAGCCCGTAACTATGGATTCTATCCGATCTAGTCCGTATGGTGCCCTTTTCAGACCAGATAACTTTGTATTCGGTCAGTCCGGTGCTGGTAACAATTGGGCCAAAGGTTATTATACCGAAGGTGCTGAATTAGTTGATACTATCTTGGATGTTCTTCATAAAGAAGCAGAGTCCACTGATTGTCTTCAAGGATTTCAAGTAACTCATTCCCTTGGTGGTGGTACCGGTTCTGGTCTCGGATCCTTATTATTATCTAAGATCCGTGAAGAATATCCGGATCGTATGCTGTGTACATTTTCAGTAGTTCCTTCACCAAAAGTGTCTGATACAGTGGTTGAACCATATAATGCCGTACTCTCAGTTCATCAATTAGTAGAAAACAGTGATGAAACTTTCTGTATTGATAATGAAGCCTTATACGATATTTGTTTCCGTACATTAAAATTAACCAACCCAAGTTATGGTGATCTTAATCATCTCGTATCAGCTGTTATTAGTGGTGTCACGACTTGTTTAAGATTCCCTGGTCAATTAAATAGTGACCTTAGAAAACTTGCAGTTAATATGGGTAAGTGATAAATTTTTAATTTAATTATTAATAATTAATTATTCATTTATGAGTTTTTTTTTTTTCCTAATATTTATAAACGCTATTCTATTTGTTATTTTTATTTGTCATTCTGTTTTTCATTCTGTTTGTTATTTTATAATTATAGTTCCTTTCCCACGTTTGCATTTCTTCATGGTTGGATTTGCACCATTGACATCACGTAGTTCTCAAGGTTTCCGTGCTCTCACAGTACCAGAATTGACAGCACAAATGTTTGACTCTCGTAATATGATGGCAGCATCTGATCCACGTCATGGACGTTATTTGACAGTTGCCACAATTTTCCGTGGTAGACTTTCAACCAAAGAAGTTGAACAACAAATGCATATGATTCAAACTAAAATGAGTGCATACTTTGTTGAATGGATTCCATCAAGTGTAAAGACAGCTGTGTGTGATATTCCTCCAATTGGGCTTACAATGTCTGGTACCTTTGTTGGTAATAGTACAGCAATTCAAGAACTTTTCAAACGTATAAACACACAATTCACCGCTATGTTTAGACGAAAGGCTTTCTTACATTGGTATACTGGTGAAGGTATGGATGAAATGGAATTCACTGAAGCCGAATCCAATATGAATGATTTAGTTTCTGAATATCAACAATATCAAGAAGCAGCCAGTAAGTATATTTCCATTATAAAAATCAACCATTTATTATATTATATTTATTAATTAATTATTTATTTATTTACTAATTATTAGCTGAAGAGGATGTTGAATATGATGAAGGTGTTGAGGGTGAGGAAGAATATGTTGCCGAGGAAGAAGCCGAATAAATTTCTTACAAAATATCATAGTTTTTTAGTTTTTAGTTTTTAGTTTAATTTAGATAGATAACAAAAAAAAAATTATATACTCAAGATATGTATTCTTATTTCATTCTTTATTCATTTTTTCTTTTTCTTTTCATATTTTATTAGACTTTGCTTCTGTCATACATTTTCTCATCAAATAACATTTAATCAATCACATATAGCTCTTCGTTTGTAATATAAAACAGCAATATTTACCCTTCATTATTATTCTTCAGTTATTATCTCTCTTTCTTTCTTTCTTTCTTTTTTAGCAGTATATAATTAGCGAGAAATATATCTCACAATCACTATTATTGATATAGTAGGAAAAGACGCCAAGAAGAGATTGCAAAACAAATCAAACATATTTTTTTACACATATATATATATAAAGCATTTTTATATGCGAAAAAAGGGGCAAACGGACGTTTCTTTTTCTTTTCTTTTTTTTTATCGAAGGACTATTAATTATCAATTTTATAAAATGATCACATACAAATAACAGTAAAATATTATTTCTTTCAATACTTTTTTTTCCAATTCAATATAAATTCAATATAGAATGTTAACAAATATGGAAATATATAATGGTATTAAAAAAAGAAAAAAAAAATTTTTTTATTTTACTTATTATTCATTTATAATATAGAATGAGAGAGATAATAAAAAAGTAATCGATTATTAAATAATTTAAAGTTTTAATATATATAATTTTATTGTCAAGTAAAATTAAATAAATAAATCCAAAAAAAAAATTTTATTTCTGATTTCTATTATGATAAAAAAAAATATAAAATATATAAAATAAAATGTAAATCATTTACCACTTTAATTTTAATTAATTAATTAAAAATTAAAATTGAACTGTCCAATCTTCAGTAATGAATAATTTTGGATCTTTAATAACAAGAACATCTTTTGATGATAGAGTAGTAAAAGTATTAATTGTAGTTCCAATTCCACCAAATTTAAATTCTAATTCTCGTTTTATAGAAGGATTCGAATTATTATAAGCAAATATTTTACTAGGTTTCTTATCAAGTCCTATAAAAATAATTCTTTCCACTCTTAATACGGAACTAATCGTTTGAGCATACAAATTATCATTATTATTATTACTCGATAATGACTTTGAGGTTAGTTTTCCTGATGTAAAGATAAATTGACGGTAAACATAATTTCCCTTTTTAAATTCGTACGTTTCTCCATCATCCAAATATAATGTACCATTCGCTTCTCCCTAAATGTTGTAATGTTTAAATAAATAAATAAATAAAGATATATACATATATCAGTAATTATTATCGTTTTTATTATTATTATTATTATTATTATTATTATTATTATTATTATTATTGTTATTATTAATTCATTCAGTACAAGTATATTAAGCTTAATAGTGAACGTGTTTTTAACTTACCTTGTTATTTATTGCAATCAAAAGCGTGAATGGATCTAAACGCATGCCAGAAGATGAACGACGAATTCTTTGCCTTCTTGGAATAATTGATCCTCCGTGTATGAAAACAGGTATCTTATTTAAAGGTGCATCCACTTTAACTACTTTATTTGATCCTTGAATTCTTTGGAAATTATAATAATCATAATATATTTCATCTCCTGAAAAATAAACTTCAATAGATGTTTGACCTTGATTTACAACTGGTTTAACAAGTAAGGAATCTCCCACAAAATATTGATCTTCAATGGCAAAACCTTTTTCTTCATCAGGATAAACTTCGAACATTGGACGAATTATAGGTTTCCCTGTAATACTCGTTTCATAAAAAAGTGTATACCATAAAGGAAGTAATGCATATCTTTCACGTATAGCATCACGAATATATTCCGTATAAGGACTACCCGATAACCAAGGTTCACGACGCTTGGTATCAATATGTGCATGTGCTCGGAAGAAAGGTTGAAAAGCTCCTGCTTGATACCATCGAACTAAAAGTTCTGGTTCAGGATTACCAAAAAATCCACCAACGTCAGCACCAGAAAATGGTAATCCAGAAATTCCAATTGTTAATAACATTGGTGATGAAATAGCCAAATGATCCCATTTAGCCATGTTATCACCTGTCCAAATTGCACCATATCTTTGACTACCAGCAAAAAATGAACGAGAAAGAATAAAAGGACGATGAGATGAATTTTTTCGATTCAAAAGTCCCGAAAATGTTGCTGCATGAAATGAAAGTCCATAAATATTATGAAGATCACGATGTTCCCAACCATTATGTTGAATAATATCTTTTGGAAATGTTATTTCGGGACCACTAAAAACGGAAGGTTCATTCATATCATTCCATATAAATAAAGATTCCGTTGATCCTTTATATTGATCCAAAGTAAATTTTTTACTCCACCATTCACATGTCTTAGGATTTGTAAAATCAGGCCAAGAAGAACTTCCAGGCCAACACCATGCATCATATACTTGACCATCAGAACCTTTAATGAAGAGATCTAAATCAAGAGCTTCTTTATATAAAATGAAATTATCATCACGTTTGAGATGAGGATCAACAATAGTAACCATCTTTCGTCCTTTAAATGCGATATTATTTTGCATTTTTATGGGATCAGAAAATTTTACATTATCCCAAGTTGTATATTTTTTATTGTCGGTATGTTCAATATCTAACCAAATAACATCATATGGAATATCATATTTATCAAATCCTTCATCCACTTCGAATACATCATCTTGATTAAGATAATTCCAACGACATTGATGATAAGCAATTGCAAAATATTGAGGCATCGTTGTAAATCCAGTGAGTAATCCATATTGATAATGTATATCAGATGTAGTTGGACCCAAAAAAATAAAGATATCAATAATTCCAGATTCCGAAATCCAATGTGTATTTGTGGTGATGGTAGATTTACCGAAATTTAAAAAACTTGATAATCCATGTTTATCTTCTTTACTCTTTGTTATGTCAATCCAAGTTTCAGCAGAATTTAACCAAAGAATTGCAGCGGATGCACCTTTACGATGAGCCATCATAAAAGGAATTGATCCATAAAGTGACATTGGATTATCTAATTCATATTCAAATACATCCAAATTATATAATCGATAAGGTTCGGTGTATGCACTTTCACTTCCACCTCTTGTCTCTTTTAATGAAAGTGTAGAAGCGTGTTCTGGAATTCCGTATACATGAGAAAATCCTGGGAAAGATATATCAAGTCCAATAGATTCAGGTCCATTTGGTTTTGAATCCACTTTTCCATTAAAAGTTTCTTCCCATAAACCTTTTTCTTCATCTTTATCATTATTATCATCATCACCACCTTTATCATTATTATCACCATCTTTGTCTTTATCATTATTATCATCAACTTTGTCTTTAATAATATTGACATTATTCTCAACATTATTTTGATCCACTAAACTAGGAGAAGAATCACCCTTTTTTCTTAAATGTTCGAAATTGAAAATTCCTCTATCATTTAATGTGACAACGGGAACATCATTAAATAAAAATTCAACTCGAAAAGGTGAGTGATAAACAAAAACTTTTTGTTTACCCTCTTTACCAAAAGATATAGAAGTTAAACCATCTTGTGAAGGAAGTACAGTATAATCTAAAGTATTTGATGGTTCATTAACCAAAGCGAAATTTTTAACTTCATCATATCGAGGTTTTAAAGGGTATTTTTCATTAATTCTAATTCGAGCCGCATCAATTGTTAATAAATTTAATTCTAAAATAAAATGTAAATCGTTTTCAATATTTATTATTTCACCGGAGAGAACACCATCTTTGATAATAATTGAATTTTCAATTAAATTATATGGTGAAACAAATGAAGAATTATTGGATATTTTATCAGCGTAAGCTCTATTACGCTGACAAAATGAACTATCCGCACAAGTTTTAAAGTCTTCTCGTTTCACGGCTGATACTTTTGTTATTATTATTAAAGATATTAAAACGATAAAAGTAAAAATAATATTCACAAAATAAAAATATCTATTATTAGAACGCGTCCTTTTGAAATGCATTCTCTTTAAAAATTATATCAATCCCAAATTATAAAATTTGGAAAAAAAAAAAAAATAATTTTCATTATTATTATATCGAATTAAATCTAGTTTAGGAATAATAATAATGACTTAACCTTTTTTATACAAAAGTCGCGAAAAAAACATATTATTATAGTGTACCACTTGTCAAACCAGTAATAGGCGATAGATGATTGACAAACAATACACAATGGTATAGTTTATCTTTATTGTAAATGTATTGATTACTTAATTTAGTAATACATTTTATCTGCGGTTCAAATAAATCAAATAAGTTAAATAAGTAATAACAATAATTTTTTCTAACTAATTATTTGTAAAGAAAATGTGAATACTTATTTCTTTATTCTAACATTTAAAGTATTTATATCAGTTATATCAGATATATATAATAATAGATAGAGTTATTGATTGATTTGATTTTATTAATTGTTATCATAAATTATAATAACAGATAAATAGAATTATTAAATAATAAATAAATAATAAATAATAATAATTATTATAGAAATAGGAATAATAATAATAATATGCAGGAGAAGACCAAAAATGTCTAGCTCCTTAATCTTTCTTTTTAGTATTTCTAGAATTCTAGTATTATAGTACTTTAAAGTAATGTTTATTAAGTATTACTATGTATTCGATTTTCTTTTATTGATAAATAATTACTAAGCAACATAATAAATATATATATATATAAAGCAACTGGGCAATAAATTTCGGACTTTATAATTATTTATTTTTTATTTTTATTTAAACTTCAAAATCACCAAAAAAGTTTTTCTTAACAAATAATTCTAACAAGTAACTCGCTGACTTTTTAATGAGTGCAATACAAAACACCGTCAATTCAAAGAGTTCATTACCAGCTTTATATGGTGTGAAGATCAAAACTAGAAAGGTATTTCATCTGCGATTTTACCTTCATTTTTTTTGTTGTTTTTATTTAAAAAAATAATTTTTTTATTTTGTTGTTCTTATTCTTATTAATTAGAGCCAGCAAAAAGCTCAGGCAAAATACGAGCCAACTGGTAAATTTTTATATATAATAATAAGTTATATTTGATTCTTTCGTGATTAATACTTTTTTTTTTTGTATCATTTACATATATTTACTTTTTTTCTATCTTCTCCCTCTTTTCGTTTTGAATAGTTTTTAGAGACGGTATTTTAAAAGCACTTTCTAACGCTCAGCCTGGCGAATTTGAAGATATTTCCCAGAAATTGGATATTGCAGGCAATTCACTTGATTATAGAAAATACGGTGAAACTTTATTTGAAGTTCTTCTTACTGGCGGTGTACTAGGTATTATTTTATTTATTTTTATATTTATTATATTTATTATTTTTATTATTTTTATTTTGTTTTTTTTTTATTATTTTATTTCAACTATTTTTATTACATATAAAATTATCAAAATGTTGGAATTTTATACTTACATAATATAAACTTCTATTTTATTGACAGCACCCGGAGGTACAATTCTTGAAGATGGAGCAAAACGCAGTCCATTTTATATATTTTCGGCAGAAGAGAACAGTGAAAGCATCAAAAAACATGTTGATGTTTTCAATAAGCTGATCAGACGTTACAAGTATTTGCAACGTAGTTTTGAAGATACAGTTAAAAATTTGCTCCAATACACCAATAAATGGGGTTCTTCGGATAATAACAAACTTGCTATGGCAATTGGTTTGTTTACTTCCAGTCAAATGATAAACATTAATGTCTTGACTGTTTTGTTCAAAGAACATCTCGTCAAAGAAGGTAATATAATCGAAATATTTAATTTTAAATAATAGCATTTAGATATAATTTCATTATTAATTAATAAATAATTTTCATTTTTTTTTTCAATAAAAAGGACTCTCTCTCCAATTTGTAACCGCAGTCTTTAAAGCCTATCTCAGTGAGCAGAGCATTGACCACCTAGGTAGCTCTCTTAAAAAGGCAGGAATAGACAACAAACTTATGGAGTTCTTCCCACCCAATAAACGTGATGAAGAGTACTTTGCTCGTTATTTCGAGGCTGAGGATATGAAACCGCTTGTCGAATATCACAATCAAAAACAAAAGAATTCGTTGAAAGAACAAACTGTTATACGTGCCAAAGATATGTTGCAATCTGGGGCTACTCCCGCAGAGGTAATTCTTTTTATTTTTTGATTTATTCTCGATTTCTTTTTTCTTTTCTTTTTCTTTTTTTTTTTTTAGTTGAATTTTAATCTAAAATACTATATATTACATTTTTTTAGATAATTAATTATCTTAAGCATCAAATGAAGGAAGGTAGTTGGCAAGAATCGGACTTTGTTAAAATCATTTGGGATTCCGTTATGCAAGCTGTAGATTGGGGTTCTAGACCAGAACAAATCGAAACTCAAGCCTTGCGTCAAGTGAAGGTATTGTTAAATTTAGAATTTATTAATGATATATAAATAAATTAATATTTAAATTAATATTTAAATTAATATTTAAATTAATATTTAATCATTTACGCAGCAATGTTCTTATATTCTTTCCACATTTTCAACCAACCCGAAAACTGAGCTTTCTCTTTTGCAAAAAGTTCAAGTTTATTGTTACGAGGATACAAAGTTGTTAAAACATTTTCGTCAAATAGTTCAAATTTTATATGATGAAGATGTCATTTCAGAAAGTGCTATCTTGTATTGGTCAGAAAAAGGTGCCAGTAATCAAGGCAAGACAGTATTTTTAAAACAAATGGAGCCTTTTATCCGGTGGCTCAAAACAGTTTCCAGCGAGAGTGAAGACGAGTAAGACGATAAGTAAAACGATAAACTGGTTTTGCTTGTGAAACTTAATTTATAATTATTTTTGGTTATCCCAATTTTTCTTTTTTACATTTTAAAACATTAGAGAGGTTAATTAATTGGTTTATTTAAAGATTACTATTTTCTTTTATTTCTATCGATTACAGACGAATTCATTCATTTCGCTTACATATACTACAAGTATTTTAATTATTTTTAAATTTTTTATAATAAAACGCACGTGATTTTTACTGTTAGTAAATATAAAGTTTAATTGTGCCTCGTGCAATTATTATAATAGTAAAGGTGTAATTTTTTGGAATTATAATTTTTTAAAAACAAGTTAATCCGAAAACTATTATTTTTGTGGTAAATGATCAATAAAATCTTATGAATTTGTAAATCTTATGATTATCAAATATATCTTTCTATTATTTTTGTTAAAAACAATCATTCGTACCACGAATTTAATCAATAACTGGTTTTATTTTAATTCTTATCTTAGAATAAATCGTACCACTTACACATGCTTCACAAATAAAAAAAAAACTTTTTTCTATCAAATTATCAAAACAAGCCATGAAATTATCTAACTAAGATCCAATTTTTGGGGGAGAATTATCTCCAAAAATGGAAGTAAAAAATTTTTTTTTTGGATTTACATTGTTTTCGAGAAATATTATATATAAGAATGAAAAAAGTTCATCCCCAAAAATTGTTTTCATCGATTTTAAAATTCAAAAAAAAAAAAATGTCTCCTCCTAACCTCGAAACACAGCCTGAATCTGAATTTACCTGTCGTCCATCTGCTGTAACTAATGGAATGACAAAAATTAATAATAACGAAACTATTAAATTCGAACGCGACTATATACCTCCTAATTTCACCATTAAAGAAATTCGTGCTGCAATTCCACCTCATTGTTTTGAAAGAAATGCGTTAAAATCGGCAAGCTATATTGTAAAGGACCTTGCTGTAATTGCTATTCTCGTTTACGCTGCAACCTTTATAGACACGTATCTTCCTACGTTATTGCGTTATGTCGCGTGGTTGACATATTGGTTCTTTTGTGGAGCTTTTGCAACTGGAGTATGGGTATTAGCACATGAATGTGGTCATCAAGCATTTTCAACTTCAAGTACTCTTAATAACACAGTTGGTTTCATACTGCACACAGCTTTATTGGTTCCATATCACTCTTGGAGAATTACTCACTCTAAACATCATAAACATACTTCTCTCATGCATAAAGATCAAGTATTTGTTCCCAAGACTCGATCAAAAGTTGAAAAAAAGATAAAACATGAGACTGATTTTAAAGATGCACCAATAATTACACTTTTAAATTTGATTGGACAACAATTGTTTGGGTGGCCACTTTATCTTACTTTAAATTTTTCGGGACAAACTTATGATAAAGGAATTTGGGCAAATCACTTTAATCCAAAATCTCCATTCTTCGATTCTAAAAATTATTATGATATCATAATTTCTAACATTGGAATGATAGTTGCTCTCTCCACTCTTTCTTATTTTGTATATACTTATTCATTCATAATTGTAGCAAAGTATTATTTGATTCCATATTTAATTGTAAATCATTGGCTTGTTTTAATAACTTATCTTCAACATACTGATCCAAAAGTACCTCATTATCGCGAAGGACAATGGGATTTCATACGTGGAGCAGCTTGTACAGGTATATTTCGCGTCGTGTTTACGTGTTGTACGTGTGTGTTGTGCGTTGTTTTTTTTTTAATTTTTAAATTTTTTTTTTTTTTTTTTTTTAAAAAAATATTATAGTTGATCGACACATGGGTTTTCTTGATGCAATTTTCCACAGAATCACTTCTACCCATGTAGCACATCATTATTTTAGTACCATGCCTCATTATCACGCCGAAGAAGCAACTAAACATCTCACAAAAGTTCTTGGTTCTTATTACTTATTTGATGATACTCCAATTTTCAAAGCTTTATGGAGAAATTATAATGAATGTCACTACATTGAAGATGAAGGAGACGTGGTTTTTTATAAAAGTTTTAAAGCTTAGCCCTTAAATAATAAATTAAAAAAAATCATTTTTTCATTTTTTATAATTTATTGCATGTATATCACGTGACTAAAATATAGAAATAAAATAAACAATTCATGGCGCGACGCGTCAAAAATTTTCTTCTTTTTTAAACCTTCGCTGAATATAAGACAAACTTTACTGCTGATATATTCACTAAACTGTTATTCAATTAAACGTAATCGATTGATATCCAGTAATAATTAATCTAAATTATTTAAAAAAAAAAAATGCCAGTACGAGAAAATCCTATTGCAGCATTATCAGTTGCTATTCCACAAATTTTTCAAGAATGTCAGAAAGCAGTAACCAATCATCGAAAAAATGCAATAACCTTAAGAAAATTACAACTGAAATGTTCTAAATATATACCTTTAAATCTTGATGCTACAAGTGAGGAGGAAGAGATCACAAATGGGGAGTTGATGTTTAATGAAGAATTTGTACGAAATCTTAATAAAGTTCTTCCTATTAAGAAAGGACTATTAAACGTTGAACGTGTAATCAGATTTATTGCTTTCTTTGCGGCATTTAATTGTGAAAAAGGTAGAGCAACAAAATCAATATTTAATAATTTTATTTTAATACTTTTACTTAATAATTTAATTTTATTATATAATTAATTTGTATTTTTTTTATCAATTATAAAAAAAAAAAAGATAATGAACTTTTAAATAAAAGAGATGATAGTGAAAGTAATAATGATGAGAATGATATAGAGGATATGTTATCTTCTCGATTCATAGAATATTTAATCAAACATTTACTTAAAGGCACTGAGGCCAAAGATAAAAATGTGAGATTACGCGTTTGTCAACTCTTGGCCCACCTTGTAGCTTCTCTTGGATCTATTGAGTAAAAATTTTCGATTATTACTGAATAAAAAAATTAATAATTATTTATTTATTTTATAATTGAAATTTGCATATTCTTTTGACTTTATTCTTATCAATCATTTCTAATCATTTTCAGCGATGAATTGTATGAACACTTAAAAGATGAATTAACTAAACGATTACTTGATAAGGAACCAAGAGTGCGAGTTAAAGCAGTTCTAGCGTATTCAAAATTGCAAGTAAGTTTTATCAATGAATATGGATTTATATTTTATTTACGAACATATTTAATACTATTTGATATTAAAATTTGATTCTTAATTTCATTCACGACAAAGTGTGATTCTGAATCTGGAAAAGAATGTACCAATCGAATGCTCAAACTTTTGAATAATGATCCCAGCGCGTAATTATAAATAATTTCATAAAAATAAAATTTATAAATTTCACGTCATATTATATTTCTTTATTTTGTTTTTTTTTTTCATTCATTAAAAATTGTTAGTGAGGTTCGACGTGCTGTATTATTCAATATTGAATATAACGAAGAAACTTTACTACGTGTATTGGAACGCGCGCGCGATGTTGATGCAAATATTCGTCGTAGTGTATACTCTATATTATTTGAAGAAATTCAGGATTTTCGCGTGTTTTCAATTGAAGAACGCGAAAGATTATTAAATTGGGGTCTCAAAGACAGGTTTATACATTGACAATAAAACCAATCCTTATTGTTTAATGATATTTAATAACATTGTTAAATATTGTTAAATTTAAATAGAGATCCTCATGTTAAAAAGGCTTGTGAGAAAATTCTTGCAATCAGTTGGATTCAACATGCAAACAATAATATTTTGGAGGTATATTCTGTTTTTTTTTTTTTTTTTGTATAATTTTTAAAATCATTAAGCTCGATTAACTTAATAAATAAAAATAAAATTTTTTTTCAAGTTGCTTGAACGTTTGGATGTTGTAGGAAGTAAAATCGCTCACGAAGTTCTTTTATCAATATTTCGCGAGCGTTCAGATATAACACAATCTATTGAATTCGATGGTAAATGTTTATACGCATTAAATTATTCGGATATGTGAAATTAAATTAATTTTTTCGATTATAGAATCATTTTGGGAAAATTTGAATGCCGAACGCGCACTCCTTTCGCGCGTCTTTTTCGAATTTCATAAAGATGTAGGAGCATTTGTTTTTATTTATTTATATATATTTTTATATATGGGGGGTTTTTTTTTTGAAGAAAAAAAAGGTGATGATCCGTTTATTTATAGAATGAAAGAAGGCTCGATGAAATAATGCCCGAAGTCACTAGACTCGCTTTTTACATTCAAAAATATAATAATTATATTTCCCAAGTATCAGAAGATGAGCAAGTCAATTATGTATTTATCGTTAATCAATTGCTTTTGATAGCAAAATTAATGGACTACGGTGATGAAATTGGTCGAAGAAAAATGCATTCGCTATTACGTAAGATAATGCCAATAATGATGTTTAATAATCTTTTAAATAATATAAATTTAAATTAAATTATTTTTTTTAGGTGAAATGCTTGTCTTACCTCACATTGAAGAAAGTTATATAGGGAATATCATGGAAGTAATGAAGAAAATATCTATTAATGAACGTGACTTTACACGGTTTGTTACATTTTGATGAAGACAAATATTGATTCATCATAATGATACGTATTATTCTTATCAAAAGAATGGATATATTTAAATTTCTAGTTCCATGATCGAAATAATTTCTGATATTCGTGAGGGCATTGAAGATGAAGATGAATCAAGACCTACATTACAAGTAAATTTATATTAAATTTTAAGTTAATTTTGAAGACATTAAATTTATTTCCTTTCATACTAAAATCAAATAATTTAATCAGGAAGATCTTGAAGTTATAGAAGACATGTCTCAGCTTAGCATAGAGCCCGAAAGAAACAATAGAAGACCTGTGAATGTTGAAGAAAACACAGAGTTAATTGACAATGAGCAGAGAGCAGAAGCGAAACTAGTGTCCGTAATGTTAAATTTAAAAAGTTTACATATAGTTCGTTGCGTGCTGGAAAAAAATTCAGAGGTAAGTTTAAATACTTATTGAATAACTCATTAAATAATTGAAATGATAACAATATGAAAATATATTTTTTTGTTTTAATGGTGTCCAGGAATTACGAGATAACCCTTCGATGTATGGTCTTTTAAGTGAAATAATTGTACCTAATGTACAAAGTCCTGAACCAACTTTGCGAGAATTTGGTACACATTGTCTTGGTTTATGTTGTATACTTGACCAGGTAAATAAAAAATCTATTAGAAAAAGTATTCTATTGAATTTTATTAACTTGTTTTTAAAAAAAAAAAAAAAATTCAAGCAATTAGCAGTAGAAAACTTCGATTTATTCATACATTACGTGAGACACGGATTTGATACATTACAAATAAAATCTTTGATGGTAATATAAATTGTAAATTTGGTTTGCATAAAAAATAAAATATCCTTAAACTTATTAAAAAATTCTCTTATTAAACATACCTAGATTATTTTTGATATTCTTATGGTATATGGCTACTCATCAATAGTTGCAAAAACACGAAAGGTGAGCTAATTCAATTTGTGTTTCTCATAATTCTTTCTTTTCTTTTTTATCGGAATTTTATAATTTTATTTTTTATTTTTTTATAGGAAAATGAAATCCCTGAATTTTTTAATGAATGCCTAAATCATAGAAGTGAACAAATTCAAGGAATTGCAGTTGTTGGAATATCAAAATTGATGCTTTCGAAAATGTTACGCGAAAAAGGTGTAAGTGAAAATAAATGAATAAATCATTATATTGTAATTGTAATTTATAATTTTCATAATGTTAAATAAATTATAATGTTAATTTTCTCTAGGTTTTAAAAGAACTTGTCATGTTATATTTCGATCCTTATACTTCAACAAATCTTCATTTAAGACAATGTTTAAGTTATTTTTTACCCGTATTCTGTCATTCATCATATGAGAATCAAATTCTCATGCAAGAGGTATTAAAAATAAATGTGATGAATTTTCATACTCATTGACATCAATATTTGACAATTTTAAGATTTTTTTCATTTAGATATTTCTTTCAACGCTTATCGATTTAGCATATAAATGCAAGAATTATGAAAAAAGTAATGAAACAGTTACACCTTTTCAGATTGCACAACAATTAGTTGACTGGACTGATCCAACTAAAGTGGTGTAAGTTAATTGATTATCTTATTAAATCCTATCTTATTAATTCTATTAATTTATTAAACTTAATAATGAATATATCAGTAAACTAGAACAAGCAGAAGAAATTATTGACGATAACAATGAATCATCACATGTAAACATTGCGATTGAAATTCTCAAACATATGTTCTCTGAAGTTGATAGTAAGTTCGCGATTTTGTTCGCACACTTATTTCAAATTAATTAAATCATTTATCAAAAATTATTTATTACAATAGAGGAAATGAGAAAACTTCTTTGTCAAACTCTCAACAAGCTTCACATAGACAAGTCAGCAGATGTAATACAGTTTAAGAAACTGACATATCTTACTGGAAATCTGAAGGCTGTAAGTTATAATTATAATTCTGACTTTATTTATTTATTTTCTCTGAAATTGCACTAATCTGCTTAATTTGCACAATTTTACATAAATGTAAAATGGCTTAAACAGAAAAGACCATTAACAGATAATGTGGCAAAAAATGCATTAAATCGATTCGAGAGCAATTTACTCCGTTATTTTGAAGATGCATCAGATGCTTTGGATGATAACGAATTAAATCAATTAAATGATTTAACAGAATTTGTAAACAGTTTTGAAGGTTGGTTACTTTTGCTTAATTACATGTATAAAAGATTATAATTTTTATAATTCATAATTAATTATTTATTTAGAAATAGAAATCGCTCCAACATCAAGACCAACTAGATCTACTCGATTAAGGTATGTTTATAAATATTTCAAATTTGCTTTATTAATAATATAATTCTAAAATAATCCTTTAAAAAAAAAATGCAACTAAATTCATATAAATCATATATAAATGTACCTAAATGTCCATAATTGATTTAAATCCACGCACAGACAATCCAAAACGAATGCAATAGCGAATATCCAAAGAGAGCAAAGGGAACTTAGAGAAATGTCTGACTCTGAAGAATATGATGAATGAATAATTATAAAAATTCCTAATAATAAATAATTTTTAATAGGAAAACCATAAAAAGATGGTTGATAATTAAAACTTGTGTATTTAAGATATTGATAAAATAAAACAAATAAATATAAATCAATTTTACACTATCCTTGCTTATATTTACATTGATTCAGTCAAATCAATCATTATTCATTTGTCAAATATAATTCGAATTATTTATCACTATTAGAATCAGATATATTTATTGTAATTTTTTTTCTTTTGGTTTTCTTTTTTGGTGAGGTTTCACTTATATTCTTATAAATCATCCTTCTCATTTCGGGAACGAATTTTGCGTAATATGCTTTTTCTGAATAATCAATATATTTTTCTGATGATTTCCTTTTCGGTAATCTTCTACGGGTCCTGATCGGATTAGGTGATGAACCAGTCGACGAATTTGTTGATGTCTTTGTTGATGATTCATAAAGACGTTCGTTGAATGCCTTAGTAAATTGATTATAATATTGATCTTCTGAATAATTAGGCTTATTATCTAAAGTCGTACTACGAGCTGGATATTTTCTATAAGATCCATCATCAGAATCATCATATGACTCGATCTCACTCTCCCCTGAAAGCTCTTTTTCATCCAAAATATATTCATCATCGTCCTAATAATAATAATAATAATTATAATTAAAAAATTTTAATTACAAAAAGTTTGTCTAAAATAAAAATTTATTTGATACCTTTTCATTTTCAGAAACGGAGTCACTCTCTCGAGGAGTTTCACTTCCATCCTCCTCAGCTATAGATTCTTCATTTTGGGAAGATCGTTTTCGCTTTTTAGATACTTTACCAAGAGTAGGTGTTTTTTTATTATTATTAACAAATACCTCAACATTATCAAGGGGAAAGGTTTGTTCGCTGCTCTCTGTAACCTTAGTATTTGATCTAGTAAAAGAAACTTTTTTTTTACTTTTATTTTTAGCTTTTCCTTTTCTTTTCAACATTTTATTATTTTTTATTATATATATTATTTAAAAAAATTTGAAATAAATTTTTAGAATTTATTCTATTCTAAAATGAGGGAATGTCTAAAGCAGCATCCATCACGTGTATCATGTGATGATCTTGTGATTAACTGACCAGTTAAATCGTTACAAATTTTGAAAAAAAATAATAAATAAAAAATATTATTTTCTTTATTTTTATTTTTTCTGTTACATACCACTTTGTTGCCCGTCCATTGTTCCTTGTCCACTGTCTCGTTATCTCTAGCCTTGTGAAATTAAAAATTCTGTTCTCTTATTTTTTTCTTGTTTTTTTTTATATTTTTTTTTTGTTTTTTTAATAGAAAAAACTTTGTCCAATTTCTTTAACATGGATGAAAACTTATTGAATTTTGAAGAATTGACTTCTGATAAAAAGCACAATTTACTTTTTAATGTAAATCAATTATTTGAGTTATTAATATAAGAATTTAATGATGAATGGTAATTACTTATTTTAAATATTTGGGTAGGATCCAATTTCAAAAAAAAAATAAATGATGTCATTTCACAAACTTATACATGTCACTTAATAAAATACAAATAGTTCAATACTTGAAAAGAAGAAATTTCAAATGATAAATAATGAAAAACAAAAATTCATCCATCTCACTTGTGTTTTATTAAGATTAAAGTATTACATTTTTTCAAAGAAGAAAATGTATATGTCAAATACTTTTAAAATTTATTCAATTATATTCACTCTTTAAAAGAAAGTAATAAAGTTAAACATTCACAAATTATTCAAAAATTTGTTAAATAAAAAATTATAAAGAATTATTATCTACTAGATTAGGAAATTTTTAAAGACAAATATATCCGAATATATTTGAACTGAATATATTCAGATATATTTAATTACCTATGCATTTATTCACATTAAATATATTCACATATATTTGTATATTTGAATTTATCCAAATACATTCTTCAAATATATTCATATATATCTGTATGATTTGAATTTATTCGAATATATTTTTTGAATATATTTTTTGAATATATTTGCATATATCTATTTGATACATTTTTATACATTTTTCAAATATATTTAAATTTATGTATATAACTTTAGATAACATATATTATTTAAATTTATGTATATAACTTTAGATAACATATATTATATAAATACAATTTTATATATACATCAGAAAATTTTTAATAGCAAATATATTCGGATATATTTAAACTGAATATATTCGGATATATTTGATCACCCACGCATTTATCCACATTAAATATTTGAATTTATTCAGATAAATATGTAAATATATTCACATATATTTGTTTATTCAAATTTATCCGAATTATACTTGCACGCAAAATTATTTTGGGGCCCGAAATTGCAATTTCGGGAAAAAAAATCGAAATAGTTTTTCATAGAAGACGAAATTATTTTACTTAAAACCTGAAATTTTTTGACCACCCAGATT